TTTTAACGTGCAATTTAATGCATTGCGTTCTGGGCTCATCAGCTTGCCTGTACGGAGTTGATCCTTTTAAAATCACTTAATGCATTTCATAATGCACGTTCATATTTGCTTTTCTGTATATACTTTGAGTCAACAACAAGACATATAGGCTACTGAATTGTCTTTATCATCCGTTATTATGCCACATTAAGCATTTTGCTGTATGGGAGGACAAATGAAAGTTTGCGCATTGTGTACATGGCCATCTGCTTGCCTTGTAGTACATTAAATAATAACTATATATTGAATTTTACTCTTTTAATAGCATCTTAATACATTAAGCCATATTAAGTGTTTATGTTTTTCTACAGGAGGAAAACGCTTAACGAGAGACTTTGTGCATTGCGTTCATATTCTGCTGTTCTGTAGCCACGGATTTGCGGGTCTTGTCTTTTTCTTGCAGGACCCTGTATGTTATAGTATAAAATTAGTTTTAATCGTTTAATCACCACCACAGCGTCTTGTCTACATTGGCAACAGGCACGATTTGTGTGGATTGCAAGTGACGTCGCAGGTATCGGAGAGTGCAAGTGGCGATTGCAAGTGACTTTGTAATTTAGTTTATTTTTCTTGTCTGTAATCAATAAATAGAACAAAATAAAAAATTAAAAAGACTGCAAGTGACGTCACTAGCGGAAGCGCAAGTGTCTGAGAGTGCAAGTCTGAGAGTGCAAGCGCAAGGCTGCAGCCAGACCCTTCTCCCATTATCTCTAAAAAGTCTGGCAGCCCCTCTCACGTCTGTTTGGTGCAGTGGAGCCCCATCAGGCCATGAAGGGATGTGCAGCGATGCAGAGTGCTGCAGTCGCCTCCCCTTTGCAGTGACACACACACACTGTCCCGCGTCTCACACCGCACGCGTCCCTCTCCAAACACATCTGATCTGTACACCAACAATTTCAACCATTCTATAGAGACATTCATCAAAAACACACACCGTCCCACTCGCTCTCTCCCTCCTTCAAAGGTCAAAACATCAGATCCACTGATGCAGAAAGAAATATGGCATGAATGGGCAGATAGAGAGATATAAAAGGATCTTTTTCCTTCCAGCTAGAGGTCTTATCTCTTGCATGCATGGCTTATTTATTGACACCAAAATACTTCAGCAATAAAACCCAAAAAGAAATGCATTCACATCACAAAAATCCTCTCGGATAGACAGAAGCGTCACGTGATGCACTGGTGCTGTGTCTATTTCTGCAGCTGTGAACACATCTAAGACTCTGATTGTGTGTGTGCATGTCTCACATTTTCATTCAGCGCAACAGACTGCAGTGGAAAGACTCCATATTGTCTGCTTCAGCAGCTGTGTAGAAAAGTGTTTCCTTCCTTAAGGGCAAACTATCATTCTGAGCTACCTGTGAGCACAAATAGCAGCCCATTATATTCCAAACAAAAGAGCGCACTACTGCGCCATTGGCTGCCAGCAGAGAGCCTTCCTCTTTTTGGAAACGTGTGCTGCACACTAACCTGTGTATGAGATATTAGAGATGCTGGACTAGAAGTAATGCTTTCACAATACTAACAAATTAGAAACCCTCTGGTCAGAAAAGGGTCAAATGGAAAACAACAAAAGAATGCAGGAAAATATATAAAATGGAATAATAATGGAAAATCAAAGAAGGAACGGAATTCCATATTTAATTACAAGGAAACCAAAACAATTATATTCTGAAATGCAAGAATTATTAGTAAGATATAAAGTTTAGATTCCATTTTTAAATAATCAAAAAAAAGGGGGGGGGGGGGATCAAATTATAGTAAGCATAAAACTAAATTTAAACATTTTGTGTGGTTGAGAGAAAAGTAATCCTAAAAAACAAAAAATAAAAATTCAATGTAAAATATATTTTTTTTAAAAAGGACAAAATATTTAATATGCTTTGGTGATCATAAAAAGTGAATTTAAATATGTTTATGGTTGACAAAGAAATAATAATCCTAAATAAACACAAAGTAGCAAAAAAATTTAATGTAAAAATTTTTTTAAACAAAAATATCTAAATATGCTCTGGTAATCATAAAAAGTGAATTTTAATATTTTGTCTGGTTGAGAGAAGAAGATTAATCATAAAAATACAAAGTAACAAAAATTTTAATCTAAAAAAAAAATAGAATTATGCTCTGGTAATTACAAAAATTACATATTTTATGTGATTGGGAAAAGAATAATAATCCTAAATAAATTATAACAAAAAATAAGTGTTCAAATTTTTGCTACCAATTTAAATTTAAAATGTTTTAAATTAAAATTTAAATCCTTGTTAAAAGAAATAGAGAAATATAATTTAAACAAGTTACTGCAACTACAACTGGAGTATTTGAAGTGTCATACCTCTGTCCTTCAGTGGCAAACAGACGCTGTGTACAAAGCAGAGATCTAAGCCTGCATAACCAGACTGACAAATGTAAGGGATTACGAGAAATATGAATTGAGTGAGGTCAAAGTTGCTAAGTGAGGGAAGTGTTTCGTCTTACATGCAGCGAGCGTAACCCCTTCCTCACCTCTGCATCTGAGAGCTCAGCTCTTTCTCAAGTCTAACAGCAATTACAGCAAAGAGAGAGACAGAGAAACTATTAGCGGTAAGAGCACGGAGATGAGCACAATGCCATCATCATGTGATAGTCAACAGACACAACTTCACAAGGACTGTCTTGACTGAAATATTGCAACTACAGCTGTTTATCTATATGGGACAAGGTTCTTTAACTACTGGAAACATGCCGTAACAGAAACTTAGGAGATAAAAAAAAGCATTCAACAGTTTTAATGTGGATTAAATGCTGCTAAATAAAAAAAATTAAATAAAAAAAAGCTAAAAAAACACCCAATTCTGATAGAAAAAAAATATTTGTACTACTTCATTTCAGCATTACAACATATATTTCACTGCCATCTACAGTACATAAACTTCACACTGTCTATGGATCAATCTGCCTTAAAATCTGGATAATAACAGGCAATATTTTACAATATGGAGCTAATACTTCAAAAAGTATATAGATCTGATATGTTGCTTCAAAAAAAAAAAACATAAAAAATATAACTACAGAAAAAGATAGAGGGGAAACGAAACCGAAAAAGAGTCTTGTACTAATATGAGAACATAAAAGAGGACATGAAAGCAGAAGGAGAAAAAAGATAAGCACTGAATTGTGTCTGATAATACAAAAGTTTGAGGTCAGTAAGATTTAAAAGAATGAGCAACGACGCACTAAACTGATCAAAAGTGACAAAAGACATTCATAATGTTACAAAAGATTTAAAATAAATGCTGACTTTTCTTTTTTCTTTTACTTTTTGTTCATCAAAGATTCTTGAAAAACATTGATAGTAATAAGAAATGTTTCTTGAGCATCAAATCAGCATATTAGAATGATTTCTGAAGGATCACGTGACACTGAACACTGGAGTAATGATGCTGAAAATTCTGCTTTGATTAATAGGTATAAAACATATTTTACAATAAATTCAAATAGAAAGCAGTTATTTTAAATTGTAATAATATTTCACAATTTTTGGGCATATTTGATTAAATAAATGCAGCCTTGGTGAGCAGAAAAGACTCGTTCAAAAATAATGATCAAATAAAAAAAAAAACATAATTTACAATAATTTATTAATAATCTAGGCCTACTATATAAAAAAAATAGCCTAACAATAATATCTCCATCAAATTTAAGTCAGGTCTGAATTTTGAAGCAACCATGTTTTTAAAGTCATCATGAAATCAAGGTTGACCATTCTTATTATTTTTATGGAATATTGCAGTGTTTATTATAAAGTACTTATTCGTGCACATCATTATTTTTAAACCCATGTGCCTTTAATTTTAAACCACAATAACTTTCCCTCCCACTTACAACTACTTCAATCTTCAAGCGATTATAAAATGTCCAATTTATTTTTCTGACATCACAGAATCGCTATTAGAGTTTTGTGATGGCTAAGATAACTATAACAATAACTACATTAGCGTCCACACCAACATGATCACTGTTTATTATAAGTGCGCACTGGAGTTTTGTCGTCTGCCACTTGAAACGCTCGAGCTCATTAAAGTCAGTTAGATACTGATTGCCTGTCCATGTGTTTATCGTTCATCAGCTGGAAAAGATTGTTATGAAAGTGATTTCAACAATATTGTTGCTCTGTGCCGTTATCGTTTTAGTTGTGGTGTGGACTCTGATATTCTTTTAAATTTGGAACAATTTTGAAAACTATATCTTTATTGATACAGTTATTGTATTTGATGTGAGTCTGTCCTTTATACAGGCTTCTGGATACAACAGAAATTGTTTTTGGAGCAGGGTATTGGAGTGAGAGTGTGTGGTTTTTGGGATTTCACAAAAAATTGTGACTGATTCCAGTCTACTCCAACGTGACACATTCATTAAATATGCAGTTAAATATACAAAGATACTAAGATTGTTCTATAAACATGCTTAACCCCAATAGACTAGCAATACTTGTATATCTCCTACTTTGTGATTAATAATTACATAATCTGGCACATGTTCTGTATGCTTTGATGCCTCTGTCGAGTCCTTTGCCTTCTGTCTTCTGGCCTCTCTGATGCTCGTGTTGATTCTCCAGCTAGTGTCATGACTGATTCTGATGGTCTTTCTATTTCTCGTACCTGTGATTGTACAGCCGAGGAGGATCTCTCTTGCTCTGTGGCAATACTTTGTATTGATGTTCCAGGGTTCTCCTGTCCATGTGTCCTAGTACTTGTAGGGACAATGGTTGATTCCCCTCTTATATTTCTTAGCAGATTCTGTGTTTGTATAATTAGCTGTGACAGCTCTTGCTGAGCGGTAATATTCCCTTCACTTGTTCGTCTTCTGTTTTGAGCACCATGATGTCTAGCCACTGTGATATTGACACAAGCAAAGAAACAGGACATGCATAACATTAAACTAACCAAACTCACAAAACAAATGCAGCTGTAACGGTACTGTAAGTCAGCCCTCCATCTATAATAGACATAAAAAAAACAAGCAAACAGGAACTAGAATCACTTCTAGTTCCTTCTACTTCTAGAGTCTTTACTGTGGACAACGAGACATTATGACTAACAAAATACACAGAATCTGCTTTCTAGTGCACAGATTAAATAAAAAAAAAATGTTTCATGTAAAGTTTAAAAAGAAACAAAGTAAATCTCTGGGTAGTCAGCAATTGCATACATCTTATCTACCCACTTATGACACTTACTGTTTGGTGCACTTGAATGTGTTGTGCTGGTAATGTGCATATCGAAATTTCGCTCTAAAAAACATGTCTGCCCGCCTCCATTGTGTGTGTCTGGTGCATGCCATCGTCTCCCATTGCAGGTAATCACAAGATAAAAAATAAAATTGCTATGTAAAATGTTATTAAAAATACAGTTATAAGTATTTTTTGATCATCTGCAAACTTTCAGATTAGAAACACACACACACACACACACACACACATACATATTTAAATTGATATCTTACTGAGAGGAGGAATTCCTTCCCTACTATTTGAACGTCTAGGAGCAGGGCCTAAAATTTAAATAATAAACAGTATTAATAAAATGCAATTTACTTTCTGCCTTTTTTTGTTCTCATTGTCTCTAAGACTTACCAAAGACATTATCTCTCATTTCATCTTCATTAAGAGTTTCTTGAAGCAAATTTATGGTTCCCAGTAATAGTTGTGCTTTTTGTAGCAGAATATCGTTCTGTACTTGTCTTAGCACACTGCCGAGATGTCTCAATCTAGCATCATCACACCTCTGAATCTGTAAAATAAACCAAAAATCAAGGTGATTTTTAAATGTGTCTCAGCAAAAAGTATTTGGACACCAAAGCCACAATTTACAATGTATATGTCTTTGTATCATATATCAAAATATCAAAACAAGTGGAATTTGTTTTAAATAAATATAGCACAGAGACACCTTTCAATCAAAATATTTCACAAAATATAAATAAAAAAGATACATTGTTAAAAAATAAAGACAAATATCTTGGACAATTGTTGGTTATTAAACTTCATGGAACATGCTCATAAGGGTTAGTTCACCCAAAACTAAAAGTTTGGTCATCATTTTCTTAAATTTCAGATGTCAGTAATGTTAACCTGCCATACATGAAATATACACATGAAAGATAACCCAGAAGTCCAGATGTGTTTTCCATGAACAAACTACAGAAATGAACTAGAGAAGAGAAGCTGCAGCTGCAGTTTTTATCATATCTTACCTTTCACTCGCAGGTGAACTGTTCCTGTTTGCAGACATCCATCGTGAAAGATTTTGCATATATAGTCTCCTGAATCTGCTAGCTGAAAATTTCTCAAAGTCAGAGCAAGATCACCTCTCTCCAGCTCCTGGATGGACAGACTCACTCGGCTCTCATAGTTTGTTTTCTCCTGTCTGTTCGTATACTGATAAATGAGCTCTATTCCTCTGAACCATCTAATGTCCAGGGGCACAGCACTGGTTTCAGGTGAGAGATGAGCAGGTAAGATGACATCTGATCCAGGGTCAGCAGATACAGTTCCAATAGGAGTGACAAGTCTAAAGGCTTCAGCTGGAGGGAGAGAAACATATATATTGTGAATAGCATGGATAACAGTAACATTCCTTATAAATATAACTTTATGACCATTTTAATGTCTGATTTACGAAGTTGGAACTTGTTGTCAAAAGGCAGACTTTGAAATATGGCACAATTTTATATTTGACTGGCATTTCTCCTCTTATTTAACTTGCTTCCTCATCTTGTTGTCTAATAAACCTGGCATTCTATATTACAAATATTGATGGCTCGTTTACTACCATAATTGCTTTGGAAAAAGCATCTGCTAAATGCATAAATGAAAACATAAATGACAGACTCATTTTTTCCAAAGTAACTTACAGTGCATTCAAGTGATGCATAATTTTATTTCAATGGCTAAATGAGGACCTTAACAGAGTTTAAGATATTATTACTGCACAATTTTTTCTGTAAAGATGTTTGATGCAATGTCCATTGTGGAAAACTATGAATAAAATTGACCTGACTATGTATTTTATAAGTACTAGTGCTTCAAGGGAATCGAACCAGCGACCAGCTGAGGTAGAGGAACTATTTCAAACGTTAAACTAACAGGACAGACAGCAGGCAAACTCTCTTAAATAATGATAATGATAATAATAATGATAATAATAATAAATTACCGATACAATTTTCTAGTTATAATGATAACGAAGCTGCGGTATTAAATATTAAAAAGGCGAAAAAATAGACTTTTTATGTACGACTAAAAAAAACTACCCTTATTATATTCATGAACGAGGTCTAATGCTATGTATAACTTTTTTTAAAAAAAAACAATAGTTTTAGTTTCAGATGCCGGTCCACTTAAAAAGAT